TGAATCACCAGCGTCTCTCCACCTTCACTTCTCCTCCGCCCCGAATCACCTTCTCACATCCCAGTCATTGCACGGGCAAAGAATACCCACAATATTTCAAATATTTTCAATATTTACTTTTTAAAGAATAACCCAGAGTATCCAGACTCTCTCCTTCTCTCTTTCTCATAAATGTTACACGCAACATCTACCGCTCCAAACTCCTCCTCGGTGTATTCATAGCGGGTAACTCACTAATCGCAACTCCAATCCCATCCAGCTCCACTGGTCCCGCGAGTCCCTCTCTCTGCCCCGGCACAGGCTCTCTCACGCGGAGGCTATTCGCGTCTTCGTCGTCGCGCTCCAGCAGGATACTGAGCACGTGCCCCCGCTTCTTCATCACCATGCCGTATCCAATGTTCGAGACAGTGGTTTCTTGCATGCCGCCGGGGTACGAGGGTGACATGGGACTGATGGGGTAGGGATTGTTGGCGTCTGTAGACCAAGCGCCCGTGTCCTGGCTTCCGCGTGGGACGGCTTCGTTGGTGGATGGTGGTGATGGTTGCGTGTTTGCGGCTGCCACTTGGCGCTTTAGGCGGCGGATGTACCAGATGAGGATTATGCCGGCGATGATGGGGAGGATCGCGACACTGATACCGATTCCTGCTTTTGCGCCTGGGGAGAGCGTGGGTGGTTCCGACTCAGGTAATGCGGGTACTGGTGTTCCTGTAGCTGAGGGTGTTCCGCTGGCTGGTTGTGACGAAGAACGTGGTGGGTTTACAGGAGTCCCGGTCGGTGTGCTAGCCGGTGCCGTACTCCGAATCGTATTCGTGGATTGTGATACTGTCGCAGTATTTGTAGATGACTGATTCGGCACTGCAGCCTCTTGACCATTGGACGGCGTACTCGACGTCGTGCTCGCACTTGTACTCGAGCTTGCGATCGATGACCCGCCATCATCATCCATAACGGTCCTGCACCATCCCTGAACCTTCGCATCTGCCTCGTCTCGTTGTACACTTCCGCACCCTTGCGCAATACACGCCGAAGAAGCCTGCATCAACTTCCCACCCCGACAATGGCACGTAAAGTCCGCCTCACCCGCACACCCATCTTGTACCAGTTCCGTAATCAAGCATCGCAGCGCACACCCTGGTAGCTGTAACCCAGCAATGGGAGAGGCCTGGCGCGGATATATAGCATGCGGTATCGCTGTAACAAATTGTTGTGTGAGGGTACTGACGACGAGAACGGAGATGCTGAGACGGTGCAGTGTCGAAAGCGGAGTCATCGGTATCCGCATATTAGTACTCGCCGATATACACGTTCTCAGACCCCGTTCCTCCCGAACCGGTCGATAATGGTAAGGCCGAGTCGTACTGGCCTTGATTTGGCGGCAAGAATTTGGAAATAAAGAAAAAAATAATGGAGCGCTTACTCCTGGGCCCTCAGTTCGGCCGTCCGCGAGCCTAGCATTCCGCTGCTTTGTCTTGTATCCCCCCTCTTTTCACCCTTTCGCATAGGAGCAAGAATCCAGTCTTGACTTCCCCGTCGCTTGCAAAAAAGAAAAACAAAGAAGTGGTGTGTAGAGAGCAAATGCAGAGGTTGAGACAACAACAGGCGGAACCCCAACCAAGGTAATGTGGCCTTGCCCGCGCACGCCCAACCCTTCCCAGGTTCTCGATCCAAACGCAGTAACAGATCTCTTTGAAAAAGAGAGAGTACAGGGGTTCACCAAAGTCAATTTTATGCACTGGCTTGGCTAATGACGTGAGGAAGGTGATCTTTGAAATACTGAGACGTGCAGTGTTTCTCTTCTGTGGAGTCCGGGTGCCTGGGTCACTTGGTGCCTGGGGTTTGACAAAAATGCCGAAGGGAACTAGGCTGAAGGGTTTTCGGATATAGTTTGCGGGTTGCGCACGTTGATGTTCGTGCTGATTGTGCTTGTATGTGTTATATAGCGTGTGTTATAGATGAAGAAGTTGAAGCGTGAGGCCCAAATATGAACTATGGTGAAACCTTCTCTTACGGAAATATAGAAATAGTGTATATCCTTTCCTCCCAACTCCATGTATTCTATTTTGAACTACCGTGATTACATCAAGTCGTCTAAATATCTTACCGTCGAACAAGTTGCATATGGGTATTCATGTGTATGGAAATTATGCGCAGCACTTCTAACAAGAAAGCCATCATGTGATGATTCATGTACAAAAGGTTTCACATCTGATCAGTCAATCTCGCGGAGAAATGTCTACACTGAGCAAGTGACAGCGCCTGGAGCAAGGTCGACCGGTCCTGCTCCAGATGCAGCAATGTTCTTGGCATCAGAGTGCCGAAAATACGGCTCCTCGTCTTTACCCGGGATTGGTCCGGGGGTAAGCATGTCCTCTGGTTCTTCGTCATAAGTGTCCAGAGAAGCGCGGCCACTGAAGTCTTCCTGGGTCCGGAACTCGTTGACAAGGCTGGCCAAATCCCAATCCAAGCTGGTGTAGCTATTGATGCTATACCGGTCCGTGTGCGCGTCAATCCAATCCGAGCCGCTGCCGACTTCGTCAATGTCTTCGTCTACGTCTTCATCCTCGTCCCAGAGATCCTGCTCCACGCCGCTCAGGAACTCCCAAATGGTTGCAAGTAGTGCCTCACGTGGTAGGAAGTAGTTGAGCGTTTCGTTATCCTGGCCCGTCCAATCTCCCCAGGCTTCGAGAATTTCTAGACGAGGGAATTGAGTGGCAAGTGGATGCGCCCAGGACTGAACGAGGCTCTGCTCTACGAGGGGATCCACCACAGAACCCGTCTGAGAACTAGATGATGATATATATGTGTCACCCGCAATTGACAGAATGGACTGAGGTCGTGCGAAGGCAAGTTGTTTGAGGTTCTGGAAAAGCGGCGTGTTACTTGTCTGGGATAAAGCAAGACTTTCCATGCCAAGCAAGCATTCGCTTCCATCAAGGTTGGCGGTCATAGAGGGCGTCCTGGGCTCAATCTTCGTGTTCATCGGGGTTTGAGAGAACTCGCCAGTAGGTTGCAGTGTCGAGATATCTTTGACTATTTGCAGATCTGGCAGGTGGCAAGATATTCTCAAGCGCAAAGTCTCAAGCTGATGACAATTCTTCCCCAGGCTTCCGAGTGCGGTGAACTCCAAGTCGATCGCTGTTTGTGGATGAAACTTCAGCTCCAAATTCACAAGTCCCGGTAGGCCTTTGCAGAATGTTTCAAATTGACTACTGGAAATGGTTGATCCATTGATACCCCCTGGCCCTGAGGTGGATAAACTGACGTCTTGTAATTTCGGACAGCTTGCGGCAAGGTTTGTGAGCGCGACCCCAGAGAGTGCTGGACATGATGTAGCCGAGGGAAAGTCAACCGCAAGCTGGCCGATATTGATCTTCAATGATTGTAGTTGTTGACATTGTACCAGCGCGACAATGATACGATTTAAAATATCTGTGTCTTCCTCGTGTTGCACTTGGTCAGGAATGCGTGCAATGTCCAATTGCAAATCTTCGATGAGTTGCAGCTGAGGTAGTAAGGCGAGGGCGATCTCCGGGTAGCACATGATGTGCAAACGCCGTAGAGAGAGGAAGGGAGAAGGGAGAGCATTTGGGCCTGAGAAGTAAGGCAGTAACTGTAGACCGGGGTCGAGATCGATTTGTAGTGCTTCAAGGCCAAGTCGTTGACTGAAGGTTTTGAAGATGACGTCCTTTCCCGAAAAACCAGCGTTCATTATGCGAACGTCTGAGATACTTGGCGCAGAAGCAAGTAAATCCAGTAGCACCTGATGATGTAGTGGGTCCTCGAGATCGACTACATCTGGGCCAATATGTATGCTGACCAGATTTGGTTTAAACAAAGCCGGCAGGATGGTGCGAGCAATATATTCAGAGCCACAGCTCTGTGGACCCAGGAATTCCAAATGCTGGAGCCCTGCGTGAAGCATGGAGCTAATTCCTTTTTCATGTTTACACCAGTCCACTTCCAACTCTAGCGTCTTCAAGTTGGGCCAGTTCAAGTCGCGCAAGTAGTCAAAGTTTGTTTCGTCGTCGGGTGGGCCTAGGACGAACAGGCGTTCTACTTTGTTCGCATACCATTGCCGTCGAGTGGGTGCCATGTCGTCCAGCGCCTGGAGGTGGGGATAGCGCCTCCAGAGAATGGACGTGCCCTCGTCCGCCCACAGCTTGTTGACGAGAATCGAGGGCACAAGGGTAGGGCGGAATTCGAGAAGTTCGACTGGCTGATCAGATCCGCGTTGTCGGCGATCCTTGTATTTCATGTCGGAGAGGTGACGTAAGATGAGGTGAAGAATGCGAGAATCCGCCAGGGCCCTGGCCGTGGCTGCCATGACTGCGAGTGCTGCCGATGGAAGGAGAAGCAACGAAGTCGACAAGAGAAGAACTGGAAGGGCTCAAGCAAAGAGACGGGGAAAGGGAGGGATAATATCCACTTGTTGCGACAAAAGTGTTGGGCAGTCAATCAGTCATGCTGCTCTGGACCTTGTCGCCTACCTGGCGACCGGGCAAAACGAAAGCCCGGCCCGCATCGGATCGCCAGGGGCCGCCAATGTAGCAGAGCCTCTCCCATTGCGGAGGGTCTCTGGTGCGGGTCCTCATGCGGCCAAGTCATGCGATGGGAACGTGTCGTCTCTGACACTGCTAGGGGATGAGGTTCGTGCTACGGTGTTTCTCAGGCACAGGCTGCAGCGCTGGCGGTGTCGTAGTGAGGCGCCGCCAGCTTAGTCAGGCAACGGACCGGACCATTTTCGGCCCCCATTTTCTGGCGCAGCACACCCTCTCAATCGGACATAGCACTATGTCCATACGGGATTCTTCCTCTTCGGGCTTCATATCCACTTGTCCCACGGCGATACGCTCCCTTTGCCGGGAATAGAAAATTCATATGGTGCTGGCTGCAGTTCTGTGTGACTATATCTACATGGACGACCGCAGCTTCCCAAGGCAAAGCCTGCCAACACCCATCGACTACCCAGGACCGTAGCCAGCAAACCCCCCGCGACAGCCATGCATCTCATACTCACTGGCGCGACAGGCCTTGTTGGCGCGTCTGTCCTCCACAACATGCTTGCGCAAGAAGGCATCAGCCGCATATCCATCCTCAGCAGACGACCAGTCAAGATGGCAGAGGGCCATGCCAAGGCCAAGGTCATCATTCACAACGACTTCAACAAATACGACGAGGCGCTTCTGCGTGAGCTGAAAGACGCGCACGGTTGCGTATGGGCACAGGGAGTCTCCCAGAACGCCGTTAGCAAAGAGTAAGTGTGTACAACACATAGTACATGGTTGGGCAATGCACAGACACAGGCCTACTTACATACATATGTATTCACACTCGTTGCAGGGAGTATTTCCAAATAACCCACGATTACCCTCTTGCGGCTGCCCAAGCCTTTTCCACTCTCCACCCAGACTCGCCATTTACGTTTGTTTATGTGTCGGGTGAAGGTGCCACGCAAACTCCTGGTATGTTCACCGCGCTGTACGGGAGGGTCAAGGGGCAGATCGAGTCTGCGCTATTTGATTTTGGCAAAAAGAATCCCATGTTCAAGGTATACAATGTGCGGCCATGCGGGGTGGACTGGTCGGCCCACCCCGAGATCCATCCATTCATACCCAAGCAAGAAATGTGGAAGAAGGCCCTCCTTCCGGTGCTGAACACGACATGGAAGAGTATCATGTCACCAACTAGGGAGATGGGCAAAGTCATGACAGAGCTGGCCATGTCCAGGGGCGAGCCGTTGGAGGGTTCGGGTATGGAAATGGAAGGCCGGCTGTTAACCAACATTGCTCTCCGACGGATGGGCGGATTATGATACCTGTTGGAGATAGGACTGAATCGTGTTTATTTGCCTTTGTGGGATTGAAAACCCCAGTACGTCCAATTTCGTCCATCCCAGCTTGTCCCTTTTCTGTCAGAGTGCATATCGTCATGCGTGTTTGCTTTGTTGCTTTTGCGAGACGCCACCTGCTGCACGGCAAGTTGCCGAGCTGGCGCCATCCGAGTGTTTGCACCCCGACAAAACTTTGCATCGCATATTGCGACAAGTAAAGGCGAGAAAACCACAGCGTGGGAAACATGTAACCATGGCGATTCACATGGTGCTTTTTTACTATATTAGTACTATGTGGAGCAGAGGCACGTGGAATCGTTATCGGGCGCGGGACATGACGGCATCGAGACCCTGGTTCGGTGGTGGGGTCGCGTGTCCGACGCACTAGAAACGCGTCGTCCCGTCTTCGTCCCCAGGTCGAATTCCCCAACCTCCATCACGCTAAGCAAGAGAAAAAGGGCTCGACACGTCGGTGTTGAGAGACAAAGAAAAAAATACACCTGCCACGTGTGCCGTCCCTTGAGCGCCTTACCCCCATCCCACCATGAACAGCGACGCCATTCCTCCGTCATCACCTCCGCACTTGGGTAGCATAAGCCCTCAGAGCCCGCCATTCTTCGAGCCCCAACACAACGCTTTCACTTCAAAGTCGAGCTCGCCCCCTCCCCTCTTCTCCAGCGACGACTCGCGCGAATCCATCGACGTGACAAACTATGAATCCCCACGTATCCACAAGAACAAACGCAAGGGCGCGTGGTGGGACAATCGCGAGTCTGCCCACAATAGCCCAGAGGTCAAGAAGCCAAAATTCTCCCGCAATCTCGATCGCAACTTTGATTCTGGCGTCTACATGCTGAGCGACGCGACCGACAGCTCCGACGATCTGCTTCCCCAGCACAAGTCGCCATTTCCAGACGAGATGGAATATGCAGACGGTCACGCCATCGACATGGATGCCAGCCATACTCAAGCCATGCAAGTGGACACCTCAAGCTGCCCCGCAGTTCCCGCGACCCCTGCTATCCGCAAGGTCACTATGAGTGATGCCGAACGTGCTTTCAACTGGCAGCTTGACGAGGGTCTAGACAAGGACCGGGAGACGTATGATTTCGAGGGTCAGGGCCTTTACGACAGCGATATCACACGCATTGGCGAGCTCAGGTTCGTCATCAAGGACCCGCTCGTCAACGATCGCGAGGCTCCAGCCGAAGGTCAGTTTCGGTCCTTTGAGCCTGAGATCCACCTTAACCTTAACAAAAACCGACTTCGACGCCTTGTTCCCTCACTCTTCAGCATCACATGCCTCAACAGCCTCGCTCTCCGTGAGAACGAGATTGAAGAGTTACCACAAGATGTTCGTCGACTGAGAAGGTTGGAGGAGCTGTACGTTTCGCAAAACAAGCTCAAGTGCCTGCCTTTCGATGTCGTTAGCCTCCTCTGGCCGTACGGCAAGCTAGGCCGTCTCACTACCATGGGAAGCGACCTGCTAGAACCCATGACGTCCAAACGCTTTCACACTCGCGTGCCTGGGGAAGAAGTCTACACCCAACATCTCGACAAGGGCTCCTATGACCTCGACAGTCTGCGCCACCACGCACGCAGCGAACTAGTCCACCTTTACGAGTCGCTCCCAACGTGCAGAGACCGCGACTCAATCGTCTGGCGCATTCGCTACTTTGAATCCTGGGCCACGTGCTTCAGCAGCGGGCCCGACAGCGAACAAGACATAGGCTTCTACCCGCACCACCCTTCTCTCCACGTCCGCGACATAGGCGAGGAACTCCTCCTCATCTACCTCCCTCGCTACATTGCCCGCACTCTAGTATCCTACTACGACCAAACCGGCTCACTCCTCCGCGGCTCCCCCTCCCTCCCCGCCTCAGACTACGAAAAATACCCCGTCATCGTAGAAACCTCCCGTGGAACCTACGGCGTCCCTTCATTCCCTTGGTTCGCTCCACCTGAACACTCAAAAGTCCCGTCTCTCCTTACAGCTACCTTGACCCGCTCGCTGCAGACAGATTCTACGTCCGACCTCCGCAGGATGATTAGTAATAATGGCGAATACGAGATTCCACGCGCAGCGGAGAAGATACTCGCGCAGGCGGATAGGACGGCCGAGGGCGGTTACAGTGTCTTTCGTGAGTGCCATGCGTGTCGCAAGCAGTATGTTGTGGCGCGTGCCGAGTGGATCGAGTTTTGGAGTAATGGCAATGGATACTTTCATCCGTTCAAGGTTAGCGTTTGCTCGTGGGGCTGTGTGCCACAGCAAATGATGCAGCGTCCGGAGAAAGAATTGACGTGGTGAACGTAGGCATGATGGGGAACATTTTTTTTTAGCACTGGCGTTTTGTGGACACTGGCCGCAAATATGTACATATGGGAGTGTCTTTTTTTCGGAGAATTTGGGGATTTCGAACAACGCCCAGGCTATGCCAGGATGCCGTGTACGAATACACCAAAAGTTTTCTTGTTCTTTTGATTTGCATGTTTCTATATGAAGCATTGTTTCCCCATGTCATATATACGACTCTGTCTTACTGCCAAATCAGTGTAATCTTCTTCCACCACGGGCCCTTGATTATCCTCGCCGGCCTCTCCTCAGCAAGCACTTGTTCCAAGCCCGTATGCAAATCCACTGTGAGAGGATCATATGCCCAGCCATCTTTCCTCGCCCAGATACGGTGGCCACCGTAGAAGAGGAAGAACATGGGGATACCGACGTAGGCGGTGAAGAAGGAGCTAACGTTCCATTTCTCGGGCCAGAAGACGTCGAAGCCGTTGATGAGGCAGAGGAAGGTGAATGCGACAATGACAGTCCATGCGCCCCACTTGCCGACGGGAGAGCGATACGGCAAATCCGTGATGCCTTGTGCGTCGCATGCCTTGCGGAAACGCAAGAAGATGATACCACAGCAGATCCACGAGATGAAACCAGAGGTATTTGTCAGGTTGACGAACCAGGTGAAGACCACCGCGGACGATGAGCCGACATTAAGATAGGCCAGGGCGCAGAAAAGCGACGATGCAGCGACGGCGTAGTACGGCACACCGGACTTTGTGCACGATTTGAAGATGGATGGCGCATTTCCTGATAGCGCGAGACCGTATAGGCTGCGGCTGGACAGGAACAAGAACGAGTTTCCAGACGACCAGGCGCTGATGATGATACCGGCATTGATGATGCTGTCAAGGACGGGTATGCCTGCTCTTTTGATACCAGCCACAAAAGGCGAGGAGCCGGCGCCGGCGCCACCAGAGGTAATACTCTCATCGTTACTGGGACAAATTACGCCGATGGCGAGGACACCGAAGACGTAGAAGATGACGAGGCGGTAGATGTAGCGGCGAGCGGCGGTAGGGAGATTGCGGCGGGGGGATTGCATTTCGCCGCCAGTAGCGACGAGAAGTTCGGGGGCGAAGGAGAAGGGGAACTGTTTTCGGGGTTAGTAAATTTGACACTGGCGGCGGAATGGAGAGGATTGGCATACGGCTGAGAGAACCAAGGTAGACAACAAAGCAACGAAGCGACCCGTATTCCCTGGTTCAAGATAGGTATTCGCTGCTCCAGGATCTTTCCAGTATCGGAAGCCGAGGCGGTCGTGTTGTGGGCCACCGCCCCAGAAGAGGATGAATGAAAGCAATAGGAGACCAAGAATCATAATGACCTCTGTTTTTGAGGGCATAAAAGTCAGCTTCTTTCTCATCTTCAGCTGGAGATGAATGGGAAAGCAACTTACTCGTGCCAGCAAACCAGAACTCGGTTTCGCCATAAAACTTTACTGGGAAGCAGTTCAGGCCCACAATCACAATGATCATGATTGTGACCCAGACTGCGATATTCACGGGTGGACTCCAGTACTCGATGACGAGCGCAGCAGCCGTGATCTCGTATGGCACCAAAATACCAAGAGAGTAGAAGTAGAGCCATCCGAGACCAAAACCCAGCGAGCGAGATACGTAGCGCGCGCCGAAGAGGTTCATCGAGGATCCGGGAGTAGGCAGATAGGCAGCGACTTCAATGATTCCGGCGACGGTGCAGAAGATCAAAAAGGACATGACGCAAAAAGATGCAAGGATGAAGGCTGGACCTCCGCGAGAAAGAGTGACACCACTGCCGACGAAGAGACCCGTTCCAATTGTGCCACCCAGAGCAATCATCTGAGCATGCCTGCGTCGATTAGCCGTCTCCTTACTGACGTGCGTATCCAAGAGATAGGATGAATGACATACCGTGACTTCAGACCTCGCTGAGTAGTCTCATATCGATCATCGAAGATTTCTCCCGCAATAACGGTAGGATCAACCGCTGAAGTCTTTCTCGGCCTTGCATGCTGTACATTTCCAACGCCAAACTCGACATCTTGGCTATTGCCAACAATCTCATCCGCCTTTTTTTCCGACATGATGTTGCGCTTTCCCCTATCGGCGCGCAGTTTCAGTTGGGGGAGAGAGAGTCTTGAGGAGAGAGACCGAACGAAAGAGAAAGAGACAAGGAGACAGGGAAAGGCATTCAATTATGCATCAGCTTCAGCCGGGTCTCGCCACTAAGACTCAACGGATAGCGTTGCTTTTGTGAAGTTCACCCGCGCGCGCCATTGTTCCGACACCGATTCAAGTTCCCGGTAAGGTAGCAACGATTGATAGGACGCCCGTGTACGCAGTACCCTATCCGCACCTTCCGTCCCTCACGAGCTGTATTAAGGGTGCATTCCAAGAAACTGGGCGTTGCTCCCACTATTCTGTATGCGGAGGCACCGAGACGAGAGGAGCCAGGGTGGTGGTGATAGCTGGTGATAGCTGGTGATAAGCGCTGATAAGAGATGTCAAGATGTGATAAGCATTAGTGAATGTTGGAAAAAAGGGGGTGCTTCATCAGGCAACAATGAGCTCATTGTTAAGACTTCCTGATTTCCCATATGTTTTTTCCTTCTTTAGATCTTGGGTTGCTTGATTGCATGTACGATGCATTAGAGACGATAAGAGGGTGTCTTACCCGCGTGGCGGGGTTTTTGGCTGCCGAGTCGCTAACGACGCGGACGCGGGGTAAGGTACCTTGCATTCCAACCGCTGCGCAAACAACTGGATATGTAAATGCTGCTGCTGGCTTCGAGCTGGGGTTACTGGGAGAGGTTACAGGAAAGCCATGTTTTGGGCAAAGCGCCGAGGCAGATGGCGCGTCGTTATCGCAGGTTGTCCGATCCCCAAGATGAATCTAGCCCTGGCAGGGCTTAGCTGCTATCTCGGCATCTAAACTCCAACTGGACGGCGCGGACTTTGTTGCCTCTTCTAAATACCTCCGCTGGTGGTGGTAGCGCTCGTTTCATGTACGGTCTGGCTCTTTGTTACTGAAGGCATTCGGAAAATAAAATCTATTGCATATGAAATCTAATATGTGAAGACAAGATACTGCCACCATACTATCCATCGCAACTCTACCCGCCACCAGCCATCCCCTCGTGAATTCATAGATGCATATCAACCCTAGGAAATCACAAGACAGCGCCTCTATATTAACCGCACTGCGATTGGCCTTCGTCACGGCGCTTTTCTCCCCCACCAACACCCAAAGCCGCCGAAGCCGCAAGCCTATCATCAAACCGCTTCTCAATCTCAAAGATTTCGTATGCCCCAGGCTCGAAAATCTTCATCCCACAGTCACAATGCAACTTCCCACGCTTTCCGCCTAAGAGCAGAATGTGCCTCTTGTTCCCGCTCAGCCACTCCCTCTTGATGTCCGTACGCCAGCTCAGGCCGCAGCCGTGGCCCAGACAAACGTAGATGTGCTGCGACCTGGGGTTCCGCGGTCGAGGAACGATGCGTGTGTCCTCGCTAGCGTTGGACGAGATGGTTCTCCAGGTGATGTTGAGGCTTTGGCTCGTGAACGTCGGCGTGCTGTTCGGGTACCAGACCAGTGGACAACTACGGCATTGAAGTAGGCCTAGAGGATGAGGGTTCTTTCCGGCGAGATGCAGTATTGTGTTCAGATGGCCGCAAAGACATCGCCATTTTCCAACGCGTTCGCCGTGGTTTTGCTGGGCGTCCAACACGGCAGATTTTGTTGCCTCGAGTTTCGAGGGCAGACCGAAGAGTTGGCGGAGTTGACCACGGAGAGAGTCGTCTGAATTCATTGTTGTTGAGGTAAGTATTCTGTACTTGAAAAACGGGGATATTAATACTTTTGGATTGATATGTCTAGATCGCATGTTCGAAGACATTTTTGAGACGACTTCAAAACAGGTTGCTCGCAGTACGTCTTACACCACGAAGGTGAGAATCAATTGCATTCGCTAGGGTGTATATGACTTCGATCAGACATTGTCAAAGACACAGTGTCAGCTGGTTACGGTTACACAAGCGAATGAAACATTCCAACAATGTCTTGCAATGAAAAGATAGACCTAGTCAAAGTTATCCCATTACGACTATCGGGCGATATCAGATTTTTGACATAAAATCGGGTTCGAGGCAGAGTCCATTTCAAGAGAATTTGATTCGAAATCGAATTCCTGGTTGGGTCGGTTGTTTGTGTCATTCGCGTTGAGAATGGAAGGTACCTTTGCATCGCTGCAAACCTGGTGCGGGCTGCAGGGACTGGGTTTAGTACATTGTCCATCAAAAAAAGCTAAACAGATTGAAAGAGAAGCAATTCAGTGTTGAAATCCTTGGTATTCGAGCTACGTGTGCATCATCCCGAGACTACATTCCTGACAGCGAAAAGATCAATATATTGCATCTTCTGATATACTCCCGAGGTTTGCAATCATGAAACCATCTTGGAGTTCTGAGAGAAAGTTCAAGTTTGGCGCGATTTAGAGCGTGTAACGGAACTGAGGATTCTTCATGTCCGTAAGATCATCCTCGTAAGCATGATCGAATCCCTCGAGGGTACCGGATTTGTCGCGTCGGTGATTGTCCCAAACACAAACGTAGCGGTACACGACTGCAAGAACTGCAGTAGCGACTGCGGTTCCAAGGACGGCCTTGAAACCTGGGGCGTAAACTGGGGCGTCCTTTGGCTTAAACAACAATGGGCCGAGAAAGTTGCCTGAGTCGAGAGTTAATGGCTTACATCATGTGAGATTTGAGCAGTTGAGAACTTACCAAGACAGTAGCCTACGAAAATGCCAGAGCTCGTGATCGATCGCTTGGTGTATCCCGCTGTATTGGCCACTGACAAGCCCATGAGCACAGCATAACTACCACCAAAAGTAGAGAGAATGTAGCATGCAAATAGGAGCGCTCCCTTTGAGCTTTGTGGCAGCTGCCAAAGCATAATAGACGCGATAATAGTGCCGCATTGACAGCCCACAATGATCCAAGTTCGAATTCCTTGAACACGATAGGCCAAGTAAGTCACACTTAGTGTAATCGATCCGATAATGACACCAGCAGGCATGACAAGGAGCAACGAATTCAGTCGGTTGAATCCGAAACCTGAAATGATGATAGGCAGGAAGCTGGAAACAGGTCCGTTGGCAATCATCAGGAGGAATGACATACTGAATGCAAGCCAGAACTTGACGTCGTATAGTGATTCCCACAGCTGCTCGAGTTTGAAGTGCTTGTTTCGCACACCGGAATTGTTTTCCCTCATACGAGCTACGGCAATGTATCGCTCACGTTCGTCGAAGCCCTTTGCTCGAATCGGGTCAGGCGGCAAGAAGAAGAGGATGACGAATGCCCACAGGACTGTTATACCACCAGCGAAAAGGTACCTAACATATGTGTCAGTTCCAATTGAACGTGATTCAATGGGGGTTTCTTACATGTACTGCCAGCTGTTCAAGCTCCCGCCCTTGATATGTCCAAGGCCATAGTTAATCAACGGTGAAACAGCCGACGCGTACGCAGTCGCGCAGTACCACGCGCCCATTCGTAGTGCCTGCTCTCTCTTCTTATACCACCCACCCACAATCAACATGAACATGGGCGACACGCCCGACTCCAGAAAACCGAGGAAGAAGCGTTGCGCGTAGAAGCCTTGCCAGTTCGTGCATGCGGCCGAACACATGAGACAAACGCCCCAGACGAACAAAATGCCGAATGCAACGCGCTCGATGGGCCAGCGCTGAGCCATGACAACCGCTGGGTAACTTCCTACGATAAATCCGAGGTAAAAGATGGAGGCTGAGAAGGAATATCGGTCGCCGGTCTTGAGCTGCAGGTCCTCGCGCAAGCCGAATAGCGCCTAGAAGATGTCAGTTGGATAATCTCAAATAACAAGAGGAAAAAAAAAGACACTTACAGCCTGCGACAACATGGCCTTATCGTAGTACTGGAGACCGTACGTTATAATCAGTAACGTCAGTAACTTCTTGTCGATCCTGCGAACGAGCTTCTTCTCCTCCTCTGGCGTCCACGTCTCGTCTCCATCATATTGCATGAGCACGCGGAGCGCCTCATCCTGGTGTACGGTATCAACGACGGCCGGGTTCTTGACCTCTTCCATCGTCTTGGGCGTCGAGGTGCCTTGCTCTGTAGCAACAGCTTGCTTTTCGTCTGCCATATTGTCTGGCTTGCTCAACCGCGATTCTGTCGAAACAAGTTGGGAGTGGCAATAAAGGAGTCTCGGAATCGCCAGTCCGGGAAAAAGCCCTAGTTTTGAGAAATTCCACACAGGGCGGTGAAAAGAGCCCGTTTTTTCTTTCTGCTAATGGAATATCATGATATAGGTAAGCAGCAGAAGTGGGGTTTTTGGCAAGGGTCGGAGATTGATATTAGCCAGACCATTGTCTGGATGACCTGGTTTGTGGGTGTTTACTCAACAGCAGGACCTGGACGGCGATCATAGCAGTTCCTAGCTGTGAAATTTCACGGGGATAGAGTGCTTTTGATTGACCTTGTACAACGTGCATCGGGCATCCGTAGTGAACCTGCAGTCCGGTTGCTTCCGCCTTCTACCCAAGTGGGAAAGTCTGGTTCCCTATGCGATGCTGACACAATGGGAGTGGCTGCTGTCCGGCCATACAACGTACAAAGACTGTGACGGCCAAGGACTTGGCGCGTATTGCGTGTGGGGTGGCCAGCACTCTAGACAATGTTGTGAATGCACTGAGATGACACGCTCGCTGGAAGTATCGTCGCCAGTATTTCCCTTCAGAACTTCACTCGGAGGAGATATGGAACTGCGGTGGAGCTTGGTGTACGAGTAGCTAGCTTACCGTACTCGGTAATCCACGGTCTAATCCGTAGCCAATCCTTGTATTGAGGCTCTTCTGCATCCCTGCAGCAGGCATACAACTGACCATGTTGTATTTTCAGATGTGGACCCATCTCGTACATAGGCGCCTGGAAAACCACCGAAGCACGTGCGGTGCTGTGAACGCACACATGTTATAGTACGGCCGCAACCTTCTCCGTGTTTCCTTGTGAGTGCATGCATTCATCGGGATATGCACTGGTCTCAACAGAGGTCAGAATTTATAAACCTAGATTTCTGTATACCCGAAACATTCCGGGATGCTGCTTGAAGCCCGCTGGTAGTAGCGAGTACCGTGGTGATTTTGATTGAGAAGTTGCAGTGAGGCTCGCCGCGTAGTGTATATATTAGTACTCAAGCTTTCAAGATGTTGCAAGTAACTTTTCTGGTGAAGATGCCAACGGGTTTGCATACCCCGCCAAGTCGAAGCGTATCTACACCGGGTGTATTGCGGGACGACAAGGACCGAAGCGGGAACACTAAGGTTGTACCCGATGGCCTAGCCCATTGAAGAGCTCTCCTCTGACTCGGTGACCGATTCGTCTTAGACTCGAGCAGATGTTCTGTCAGCAGGAGAACTGTTGTAGAAGACGCGCTTCGATGTATTGATGTGCAAAGAGAAAGGAAGAAGCCGTTGCTAGATGGCCAAGAAGACCAGCCAGTTTAGTTTCGGCCGCAGATTGTTTGACATCAGTAAGGCTCATTTCTGGAAGAAGAAAACACTGCAAAACGGGCCTATTACGCTCCTATTACGCTCTAAGAACAAGGTCTGGGGCTGGGCGGAGATGGGCCCGAGAGCCGCAATGACAAAGGGAGCGAACGTGGGAGACAAAATCCCCAGAGCTCCGCCCTATCAAAATCGATGACACGCGGGTAGGTCCGCAACTTGAGAGCCTCGTTACGAAACCACAACATTGTGATCATGATACTCTTTCTATGCACATTATCTTTGCTATGTAAAAGCGCAGGTACATAGTGCGACAAACTACATAAGATACAAGCGACTTCGTAGTCCGGGAAATTCGAAACTCCGCCAAAAGACAAGGTATGCTAGACAAGAATCACAACATCCCTCGACACGCGTCCACACATGGAAAACCCTTAGTCCCAGCGCCATTCAAGTACGTAGTCTTCGATGTTTCTGTCTCTCCGACCGGGCACCCCACGTAGAAAACAGCATCTACCTCCGAAACGCTAGTCTCCATCCATATCTCTTCCCTAGTGTACATACATCCCCATGTACTTTATGTCAAATATGTCACAATGAGGGGTAAGTAGTTCAACCGTTAAGTGGCAAGACAAGTAAATGGGGACTAGTTCAACAAAGCATCCATCCCAACAACGGGCCAATTACGCTCACGCTTCCGCGATTGGGCCAGGCGGGATGTGCGTGTGGGCGGAACGGGTCCGTAGTGGTATGCTTATTTGCGAAAGGCAATCATACCACCTCAACAGTTCGGTGGTCGAAACATGACATCCGACGTCCCGCATACGCAGCACACCTATTCTGCATAGTTTCTGGTCGGTGTCTGTTACTTGGCTTGCCAGCCCGAAGAGCTGGGTGTCGCCTGCGGGTTATATAATTTCTTCTTTCGGTCGGCAACGAGATGGGTAGTAATGTTCCGAATTTGACGGGCATAAGAATGAGCCAAGAAGTGACCTGGGTATCGTACTACAATAAAAGGATGAGACGATACCACGCCATTTCCATTTGTCCGAATTAGTGAACTCTTACACTGTGACTGCGACATCAAGATTTGTTTAGTAATAGCCACGATACAGGAATGACTCGAATGAAGGCGGACTTGAGCTCAGTAACCGCACTGGCATATCCCTGGCACAATGTGATGTTCATATTCGACATCGTTCTGGATCAAATCCAACGCAATGAGGTTGTCGCAGCTCGTTTCTCTTCTTTCATTGTTTGGCAGACTTGAGGCTCATAATGCAAAGAACGTTTTATCATAGTGAAAGTCGCACACACACACATGCGTGCGGAGCCAGGAAGGCAGTGCAAGAACGAATGGGAGACAAAGAAAAGAAAATCTGGGAGCTAATATGTGTGCTTTTTGAAATCGTGCACCGGATAGATCGCTGTGAGGTTGTCAAGTTATCTCATGTACTTAACATGCTTCGTGTTCACGCAGTGCACACCACTCACGGCAAGAGCTATAAAAGAGCAAAGAGAAAAGACCATAGATAATATGATGATGAAATATATAACTCAGACAATCAAGCTAGCTTCCCGTCTACACCGGAAGCCCCGACTAAATCCACGCCCGACCCGCTGCGAACATGCGGCACATAAATGGGTCAAGAGTGGATCGCACACATCGTCCGTGCAGCAATACTACCAAAAGAACCCCCCAAGACCCCCACTTCATTCCCGTCCATTCCTCATAAATCCCCGTTGCCCCATCATAACCCCAATCTTGCCTTACTATACTTCGTAATCGAAGAGACACCGCTATAAGCTTGCTTCACCTCTCGATCTTCGGGGTCGCGCTGATATGAATATCCGGTCGTCCAGTCATCCGGATGCGCTCCATTATCAATCGCTCGGTGCGACTCAGCGAGCGACAAAGCGTACCGCATCGTCCTGCCGTGCGCTGCATCTCGCGCAAGTCGTTCTGCGAATCGCTCGCGTATGCGCGTATGGTGGCGCCGGGTGTGAAGGTTGGTGGGGGACGGGTTAGGCCTGGGGATGTGATCGGATAGCCCAGATCGCTTTCGGAACTCGAACGTGGGTGCAGAGGCGGTAGATGATGGGTATTTGGGTTAACGGGTTGGCTTGGGAGAGGGTGGATGTCCTGGAGAGGGATGAATGGGTGGTGTTGTCCGGTGTTCTCGAGTGCGGATTTGCGGTTTCGGCGTTTGTAGAGGTGGATGAGGATGATGAGGATCGCAATGAGGATTACCAAGCCGCCCCCAATTATGGCGAAGTATTTCCCGTATTGTTGTAGCCTACGGGTTCGTCAGCAGTGTGCTTATACGGTGTGATCATTTCACCTACCATGGTTTTTGGTCTTCGATGACCTCCACGTGTGTTTGGGTTGGCGGTGGAGCAGACGTCGTTGGTGTCTGGACTGTTACCAAAGTTGTGTATGTAGTGGTAAGTGTTGACAAGGTGGCCTTTGACAAGGTGGCTGTTGACAAGGTCATAGTCGGCGGGAGATGGGAAGTTGTTGTCATTGGTATGTCGGATTGGCCACACATTCGATTGTAGTATTGATGGATGAGTTCGTCATTCTCATCACTACATACTTCATGGCAGATAGTACCACTTTTGTGTAGGTCTCCGAGGTATGTCGATTGACAGACACAATCTTGGTAGGTGAAGTGGTTGGATACTGGGGCAACTGGTGGAACACAATTTGCCTCTGATGCCTGAAGTACCTTGCAGATGCTTGCACACTCGGGAAGGGCATTGTAGTCAAACACGGTTGAGCCTGTCACCATACTTCGCAAGCTAGTTGGGTGGTACATGGCTGGTTGTATGTCGAGACTATTGTAGATGTAGATTGAGCTGATGGTTTTTGGATACGATTTCAATTTCGTGAACTTTGGGTTGCGAAAGAGAGCGAGGGAATATATGGGAGCAATTTTGGTTTGTGGTAGCGGTAGCAAGTGAAGCTAGTCTACCATGAGAGTGAATTCAGCCTAACTGCTAGATCCTCTCTGTTAGTGAATGACCGTTCACCTGAACATGGGAGTGAAAATAAGAACTGTTTAGCCCTTCACCTTTCACCCTTTTGAGGGGAGGGGGGAGAGTGAGGGGTAATTCGTCTACATGATCTCTTCAGTATCACTTCTGTTTGCTCGGAAAGCGGATATTGAGTAAAGGTTGTGAATTCTATAAACACCAGCATGTAGAAAAATGATAAAGTGCTGTTCTAAATGAACTGATCAGGGACTGATTTGTTGCATACTGATTTATGCCAAACGAGTGACTGTCGCAACTGATCAAAGAATGAAAGATCCACCACAAGCGCAGAAACCCCCAGTCCCAAACCACCTTCTCCCCTTTAGAGCCATCCCGCGGCTCTTCTATTGCGCACTGAAAGTGGAGTTCAAAGGACCGAACTTGATGTTGCTGTAAGTGACCGTAGCATCTGCGTTATTGGTCTCAAGATCCTTTGGTACACCGCTGGTCGTCGCGCATTCTCCTCGAGCAACACCGAGGTCCTTTTCTGGGTTCTTGTCGGTGGGGTATGTAGAGTCGAGCCACAGCATGTTGCTGTTGTGGTCATCCCACACGCTCATGACAAGAACCATACCATTAGCAAGAGCCTTGGCCATGCCTCCCATGCCGCCCTTCTTCTGAAAGTCAGTTGGGTCGCCGAAAACAGACTTCTGCTGGTCGCAGAACTTGGAGTTGATGGTGTTGCCGTCGATTCCTGGAATCTTGGATGAGGGCTGAGGGATAACTTTGCCGCCTTGGACGTAGAAGCGCTTGATCTCCAAGCTGTCACCAGATCCAACGAACTGTGTAACGACTGTGAACTTTTGAGATGTATCCACAGTCTTGCCCTTTCCGTAAAAGTCTTTGACGCCCATGCGGTAGCTGTTGAAGTCGCAACCATCCGCGTCGCACACTCCAGCATAGCGTGTGGACGAGTATGTACCTCCACATGAATCGCCCGAGCAGCGCGTTTGTTCAATCGTGCTGCAAGAGTGTGGAGTGACTGCCGTGCTGACCGAGTTAGCCTCCCAAATGTCCATCTCTGCACAGCTGGAACCATAACCGCCAACTCCGGCATTCTGGTCAGTCGCTGATGGTTTCCAGCCTTCAACATTGGCCTGAAACGATGGTTAGCATGCCTGCAAAATTCCATGAGTACATATATTGTCACTCACCTCGCCATTGATGAACTTGAGGTCCCTTGGAGCCTGGGCATCGCAATAACCAGTTCCGTACTTGGCACCAGCCTTGTTACCTGGGTACTTGCTCATACCACCGTCTGAATCCATCGAGACAAAGTACAGTGCGCCATTGAAACCGCAGGGTAGCTTGGAGACATCGACGTCGAACGTAAACTCTTGGTTGCCCGTGAAGTTGAACATCTGGTAGGTTTTTTCATCCTTCATCAGGTAGTTACGTGACCCAATGTTTGTGGAATAAGAGCCCTTGGTGACGAAGTTGAGCTTCAAGGCATTGCCGCTGGTAGTAATACCATAAGTGCCTGAATAATCCGCACCATCGATGGCGCAGTTGGCAGCGCACGACTTATTGTCGGGGCAGTATTTCGTGTCCCAAGTGTTGCCAGTGTAACAGTTCGTGTAACTCGAGTTCAGTCAGCACAAGTGAACTAGAATATCGTGTCTCATACATACCCCTCCTTGGTATGAAGCCAACGCCAGTTGGCATCAACGACAACTTCGCCGTTTTGGGTGGTACAACTTCCTGCGGCAGTGCAAGATTGCCATGACAACTTAGGGTGCACTTCCTGCGTCTGCGTTCCCACCAGCTGACTGCGAGCTGCGTGGAGAAAAGAAGCGGTAACTGCCAGAGTCCGGTACATGTTGAAGATGCTGATGTGTGTGTGTTGAGTGTGATATCCAAGAGAGAGGCTGAAAGAGATCACTTATATATGTCCATCACGAAGGCTGCTGCGGTCCGGAATCCCGTTTCACCACTGACTGATAGATGGGAGAGTTTGTCCGTCGTATCCTTGATACAAGCTAAACATTGTGTATATTGGACTCCGAGCCATCGTACTAAGTTCTGCGGTTCACGTGTAGGCTAAATTCGCCAAATTGTAGTGTGCTTACGCACTGCGCATATAGCTTGATGCCTGTACGAACTGCTAGTAGTGGTCACCAACAGCTGGCAACAGCATTCTGCAGGATATGTAGCAAGCTTTATGCAACAAGCAAGAACATTTACCTCTTTACAAAATCACAGTAATAGTCAGACCTTTTGGTGACGAGACTGAATACTCTCCATTGACTTGACAGCCAGTCAGTTCTGAAGTCATGCGCAATTTAGACATACTATAAGAGGCGCGGTAGGTCAAAAATTAGCTTTGTCGCAGAAAGTAAGCATATACTTCGATTGGCCGTCTTGAAACCATTGGCATGAACGGCAAGTTCGGCTAAGCATGCGAAGCTCACTGCCGCGCCCTGGGCACGAAACACGGAGAGTTTGTCTAGCTGTTATTCGCTCAGTCTCGTGTGTATATAGATTGTTTTTATGGAGCGTGTTTCGTCATCCACTTTCCGGCCCCGATTCGGGCTGTGATAGCCTCTTCTTGGAAAGAACCACGTACTTGGCTGACCATTGACATGTCTTGGACAGGGGACAGATTGGCAAGAAGTTTTGCTTGCAATAAACATGACCTGCATAGCAAGGAATGAGAGGTCGACTGTAAGATTGTGCCTGGGGTCAGCACTCATGAGTTGTGGGGTAGCGCAAGGGTTCCCCGCTTCGAGATGGAGCAAATCAATGTTCCATGCATCAACTCGGCCGACATGGTGTTCGCCCAGGACACGACCAAGGCGACCTCTTGATTTTGTCCGATGCTGAGGCAGCGCAAGAGACGGTATCCTGGAATCTTGTCGATGACAAACTCAAAGGGTGAGAGGGTGAAAGGGTGCAGGCAAACCCAGCAGTCATAGTAGGTTATCCCCGCCCTAAGTTGTTGGTTATGTCCGAGAGTGCGCCGCGAATCCACGCCGGGCCGCGTGCATGTCATCCCCTCCATTTCCGCAACCGCTCACCCTGACACGTTGTCCTCGATATCGCAACACTGATTGGTGCTGCTGCCGTCCCGAGTTTCCATGTCTGCTCCAGGTGCCGAATGGATCAGCGACAGATCGCGTGAAGACACGCCCCCGGAGCGCGACTCTCCAGAAGGCAACGACGGGCCGTCTCAGCAGCGCACGGGCAAGAAGCGCAAGGTTCTGTCATGCTACGCCTGTCGCGGCCGCAAAATGAAATGCGATCGCGTCTTTCCAGTATGCGGGCGGTGTCAAAAGACGGGAAGACGGCACGAATGCACATATGATCCGCGTCTCTTGGAAGAGTCCAATGTCACTGTAGCCACACGAGCTGTTGATGCCACTTCCACCCTGCTGGCGGAGCGACCTGCAAACATCAACCAGTCTGCCGATACACGCGACATTTTGCAGCGGAAGGTCAGAGCTCAAGAAGAGCGCATTGCATTGCTAGAGCAGCAGCTAGCCCAGCGGCAGACCAAACACAAGTCACAGTACCATGACGTCCTGCCCGAAGAGCCAACGTTTACAGAGGACATTTTGCTCAGAGGGAAAGGGTTCAAGACCCAATTCCATGGTGTGACAAGTGTTATGAGCATCGTATCCACGGTATCTCTCACAGCAAGTCCGTTTGTGGATGCCTCATGGGAGCTGACTTTCTTGCAAGTACCATGAGCTGCATCTCTTCACGCGCGAAGCTCTCAACCTAGATCGTTCTCTCGTACATGTCGGAAATGACTTCAGAGCGTTCCGTGATCGAAGGAAGAAGTCGGCTAGAGAGTTTAATGTCGCACTCCATAGTGCTGAGGCTGACATATTGGCTGTACTTCCTGAGAAGAGTGTCGTCGACACGCAGGCTGCTGAGTACTTTCGGACCTGTGAAACCAGCTACAGAATCCTGCATGCGCCATCGTTTTGGGAAGAATACCAGGCCTTCTGGGAAAATACTTGCGCCCACAAAAAACGCGTCACCTTTGCCGTTCTGCTCGTGTTGATCATCTCCATTACACAATGCCTTGACCAGAAAGACGATGTCTTCGTCGGCGATACGACTGTTGATCGGCAAACCGCTCAGGACCTCATTCACACCTGCGAAATTTGGATTAATCTGCAACCTCGGAAGCAGGCAACCCTATCTTTCCTCCAGTCAGCATGTCTTCTGCTCCTTGCTAAGCGGGTCAACTGTGTGGGGATAAAGCAGGACTGGATCAACTCTGGTGATCTTCTTCGGCTCGCTCTAGCATCTGGTATGCACCGCGACCCGACCTTGCAAGGAAGCGGTAGAATTTCAACCTTCGACCAGCAAATGAGGGAGCGACTATGGATTACCGTTATGGAATTAGAACTGCAATCCTCAGTAGACACTGGTCTTCAATCTGGGCTAACGGCCCTGTACTTCGACACACCAGCGCCAGCTCATCTTGCAGATGAGGTCTTCTCTGCGAACACGAAGCAACTACCACCAGATCAACCAGACGGAGAATTTACCTCCACTTCGTTTATTACTGCAAGCCTGAAATCTTTGCCACTTCGCATTCATCTTACGCACCTGCTGAACACGCCATCCAGCAATATCCAGTATGCCGATGTTTTGCACTTTGACGCTCAGATACATACAGCTGTCTCCGCCTTGCCCAACTGGAAAGATGAATCTGCCGTAGTGCCATCTGCACTTCTCCGCTTGCAGCTAATTCAATATCTTCTCATATTGCACACGCCGTTTGCCCAATCAGCGGCCAAAAACAACCGCTTCATGTACTCCTTCACAACATGTGTGGATGTTTGTAATTCCATGATCGCGATACATGGCGACCTGCTATTGAAGGGTATCTCTTTTCTTAGTAACACCCGCAACAACGCTATGAGAGTTGGTTTAACACTGTCTCAATTAACATTCCGGCATTGCGCAACCAGCCCAGTGAAGTCATTGGTATCGTCAGCCGACACCCCTAACACTCAACACGCCGACCCTAAAGCCCGTTTACCGGATATTACGATGACCAAACGTGGGGCCCCGCTTGGTGATACAGTCTACCTTGCCTCACTACCGCAAAATTCCTTCCTAGTCCAGACATTATGTACATCGTCTCTCGAGATTCTTGAACGTACAAGACAAATTTTTGAGCAAAAGGTACTCAGACTAGGTACTGCATACATGGAGTACTGGATTCTTTCTGCCGCAGTGGGCATATTGCCACCCCCACCTTCGTCGTCTATATCCACTACTCCGGTTGACAATCCAGGCGATGAAATCGTTTCTAGATGCCGGAAAGCCATTAGCTATTTTACCGCTTTGGCATCCAAGGTGGTAGCTTTGCAGCAAGACCCGAACAATTATTTGGCTGCCTCTCTCCGTACTACAATGTCAAGAGCTTCGCAATCTGAGTATGCCAGGCATAGTATGCCTCACAATGGCTTTGAAACTGACGGTACATCTGGGACAAACCAAACAGCATTCGGAAGCGCGGCTTTCACTCAGCCGGGCGGGACAAATACTACCGATCCCAACTCTGGAAGTTCTCTGAGCGACATGTATTCCCCATTTGACATGTTGCAAGACATGCAAATCGATGGCAGCAACTGGTCGTTTCCAGACTTTTGGGCTTTCGACCTAGGGGGTGAATTTTGAAACTCTACACAGTACTGTAGTTTGCAACAACTACGTTCTTTTCTTTGGAGGATCTCGTAAAGTATGAAGGCTTGTCTCCTCTTGCCGAGGAAGCCGAAAGCTTATTTCGTCCTCGTTTTTCCATTTAATCAATTGGAGATTAACAAGCTAGCCGCATGCATGATGCACCCCCGGCATGCACCGAGGCTAAAATGCGTCACCTGCTAGGTAGTGTATCACTGCCACGCAACCTTCACAATACTGTCGAAATATTATGGTGCTGACCCGGGAGTGCGCGCACATTGGCTGACCAAGGCTGAAGCTGTCTGCTCCGTCCACCACGTGCCAATCACCTTGTCACACTGCATTTTCTCGACGCTGCTGCACCCCGCACATCTTGCTGCTGCCCGCTTGTTATATTAGGATCTGCTGCGCATCAGCCTATCAAGGCCGACCTTGGTATCCTTCACTACATTACACACTAGTTAGCTGGCTTCGAAGGGGGGCGTGCCCTCTGCTCCTTCGTCGCCATCCCAAATGATTTGCACCAACCATGGGCCTTTCGCCATGTCTGAGCGCAACTCGTTATACCCGATAGAAACAACTTTGTTTGCATTCTGCTGACTACGTGCTCTTCAACCGAGGCATACGGTCAATTTGGGCTCACTATAAGCCGCGCTTGCTACGGAAAACCACGTGACTAGCACTCGTGACAAGAAACGTATGACCACCCACCTTTTGAACTGAAGAAAATGCCCATCTTGCTATCACCGATTATCATGACGTAAGAAAAGTCCTGGTGGTCTTGTCATACACGCAGAAATTGGGAGTGTGCAATGTTCCATACTCTCTACATGCCAGAACCAGTCTGCTTATGCCAACGATACTCTACCCAAGTTGAAAATAGCCTATCTAATATCTCATCATGCAAGCGCTGAACCGAGAAGAAAAAAAGAATGCTGAATCACCTCATCCCATGACTGATTGAAAGCTTTTGCATCGACCGTCGCGTCCGTATGACCCTCGCCTTGAACCTCAGTCCCTCCACAGCCGTACTCTGCGCCACACTCGACAACATCTCCAAAAGACTCGTGTGCTTCGACTGGTACCGATGAGAGTGCGCTGCCCAGCTAAAATGCGTCCGGGTAAACGCCACCAGTGACTGAGCATATATCTGTACCGTGGCAGGATACCCTG